GGGACAGCACTGAGCCCTGAGGGACAGGTTAATAGTTGGATTTGATCATAGAATCATAGAATTTTAGGGGCTGTAATGGACCTTAGAGATCATCCAGCCCCAAGCCCCTGCAATTCTTAAAGCACTTCTACGTTCAAATGTATCTTTACTGCCATTTATTTGCACTGCATTTCATAAAGGGACCTGAATTGGCTTAAATAGCAAAAGAGACATCAAAAGTTCTATGAGTGATTTGCTGACTTCCTTTCTTACATTCTCAGTCCCACTTGGAAGTTTTCTTCCTGATGTGCCTGGAGCCCTCAGGGTCGATGGCTTCAGAGAGGTCCTTGTGATTCTCTGCTGTTGCATGCAGGTAGCCAAGGTAGGCCACACACAGGCTAACAGCTACCAGTCCAAATGCCATCACAGCTTTGTTCTGACAAAGAAAAAACAGAATTAGCACACGTTTTTAGTAAAACAAATTCTCATCCAACTCAAACTTTGCATTCTTCTTATTACAAAAGGAACAGCAAACTATGGCAACATCTGCAAAAAGCCACCACTGCCACACTGCAGGCTGAATTTGCTGCTAACAAAAGTTCCCTTTGAAAAAGAAGATCATTTCTGGAGACAGAACATCACATTTCTTAGTGCTCTGCATTTGGCTGGTTAGAAATGCTGCTCGGGCACAAATGAACAGGCCAAAACCTATTGCTAAAGGTCACCATTATGAACTCCTAAGAGAATTCCTCTGGATACACTACTGGGACAACACACTCTGCTCCTGCCAAGCAATCTGGATTGTCATCCTGGAAAACACATTTGGGGTGATTATCACAAAATCTATTATATGCACAGAATTTCATCCAGTCTTGTTGGGCTCTGCAAGTAAAACCCGAGGTGTAGCAACTGAACTATAAAAGCAAGAAAACCCCAAAATGTTGAAAAGCCACCAAAAATCTCCTCATTTCAGGCCAAAAAGTTGTCGGTTTAGGGTTTGCTCCCTTTTCAGTATTGAAGAGGACTCCTAGGACTTAGCCTGTCAAAGTACACAGGTAATGTGCCTGGCCAGTGTTTCTGGAGCAACTTGGCTAGTACAAAAGAATCAGAGAATGGAACCATGAAACAGAAACTGCAATGGACAGTGTAACCTTCTGGAATCTCAACAATCAGAGTGGAAAAAGGAGCACAAACACTTTTAGCTACATTGCTGAGTGGTTTCCACCCCAAGAGATGGCTATGTCACAGTGCAGATCACTGCGTTAGAGCAACTGTGTCTCTTCAAGCAGATTCAGTTTGCCTTGGAATGAGCCTCTTACAGGCCTAATGAAAAGCTCTGGGTTCACAGCTCGGAAGAGAAGAGTTGTCTGAACACTCTTCAGTCCTGGTTGTCTCCCTGTGGGTGGTGCATTTTCATTTGGAGGTTTGGTGGAAGACATGTTAATTGACGTGGAATAATTCCTAGAAGCAGAATGAAAAACAGGCATCAATTTTGTTAAGAAACACCACCTGGAAGAGCTACATTGACTGAATAAGAGTTTACACTCCAGTTTGTCTTCTTACAGCATGATTTTCAGTTTGTGTATACATTAATATTGCCTTTGGTGTCACCAAACATTCCCAGCTCAACATGCAGATTTCAACCTTGTTCATTCTGTGCACCCTAAAATGAACTTTTTGAAGATGCACATCTTTATGCAGCCAATCTGAACCTCCTGATAACTGGCTTGGGGTTTTCAACTTGTCTTTGGCTAATGCTTTAGCTACCTGTGGACTGAGTAGTATCAGTCTTCAGAGCACTGGCTAGAAGGACAGTGCCAGGGACCATCATTTTTTTCACCCTGGTATGTGACAGAGCAGCTCACAGCGTGTTCTAGTGCAGTCACTCTAGTCACCCACCCCAGCAGCCCCAGCACTGTGCCTGCTCCATCCCTGGGAGTGCTCTAGGCCATGCTGGAGGGGGCTCTGAGCAACCTGGGCTGGTGGAAGGTGTCCCTGCCCTGGCCATGGCAGGGGGGTTGGAACCAGATGGTCTCTAAGGTCCTTTCCAACCCAAACCATTCTGTGATTCTATGCCACCTCAGCACAGATAGCAAAACACACCCCTGGCAATCCCTGCTGACTGCACGGCAGAGGAGACACTGCTGAGGGCTCCCTGCCACAGGCAGGCTCAGACCAAACAACAGGAAAAATGTTCTCCCTGTTGTGGTGTTGAGGCCCTGGGATATTGCCCAGGGAGGTGGTGCAGTCACCATCCCTGGAGGTGTTTCAGAGGTGTCTGATGTGGCACTGCAGGATCTGGGTTAGGGTTTGGGGGTTCCAGCAGTGACAGGTTCATGGTTGGACTCGATGATCTCAGAGATCTCCTCCAACACTGACAGTTCTGTGATTCTGAGCAGTCCATGGCTGTGATGCAGCACTCATCGGGGACACGGCACAGGGCAGGGACACAGGGACACGGATATGGGGCAGGGACAGGGGCACAGAGCACAGAAACAGCCACAGAGCAGAGAAACAGACACAGAGCAGGGACAGACACAGAGCAGGGACAGGGACATAGGACACGGAGAAGAGAAAGAGATACAGAGCAGGGACAGACACACGGGCACAGAACAGAGAAACAGACACAGAGCAGAGAAACAGACACAGAGCAGGGACAGGGACACAGAGCAGAGAAACAGATACAGAGCAGGGACAGACACACGGGCACAGAACAGAGAAACAGACACAGAGCAGAGAAAC